TCCATTTTCCTCCGCTTATCTGGGACCGGGTCACGGGGGCAGCAGTCTAAGCAAAGATGCCCAGACTTCCCTCTCTCCAGACACTTCCTCCAGCTCCTCCTCCGGGGGAATGCCAATGCCGAGGCGTTCCCAGGCCAGCCGAGAGACATAGTCTCTCCAGCGTGTCCTGGGTCTTCCCCGGGGCCTCCTCCCGGTGGGACATGCCCGGAACATCTCCCTAGGAAGGCGCCCAGGAGGCATCCGAAACAGATCCCAGACATTGAATGTTTGTTTTGTTTTATTCCTCTGTTTAAATAGGAAACATCCAGGTATTAATTATTTTTCACAACTACTTTCCATGGGAGCTATTATAGCCCTGGATCACACTGTATTACAAAGGTATTTTGTTAATTGATGGAAACAGAATATTCCCACACTCCTTCATATAAAGCTATTCAAGTATCTCAATAAAAACTACAATAATCACAAACAGCCAAATAACGGGTAACAAATACACAGGAGGAATGCTAGTTTCATTAGCTTAGGATAAGTTAGTCTTTGTGGTAGATAATTGTGTAAGTGTGAAAGTCCACTACAGGGTAGAAAAATAGAATGAGAATGAGATCATACGGGTATACAGCTGAGTATTTAGCCATGTGGGAGCCTCCCTGGCAAGGAAGAGTTAGCGTGGGAAGCTCTGAGCTCGGTCAATAAGTTCACAAAGACAAATAGGTTTCATTTCAGGGGAAAATACCATAAGTGTTTTGTTTTTGGAAATGACCCAAAATAATACTGCAGGTGTTGTGTGAATATCTCTGACTCTTCATCCCATAGCGGCACTTTGAATCTTAAACCCTTTAGTGTGGTTTTAACCCCTTAAATTACTTTAAAGTGTAAGGCTAGCAATATAAAGCTGCAGCTTAAACATAAACTCAAGCAATCAAAAATGACATAACAGTAATCAACCATTCATTTATATACGAGACTCATTTACACAAATGTGTTTTGAAAATCTCATATTTACAGAAAACACAATTTAAATTTATCTTGAGTTTTGCAGGGAAGGAAAATGTAATAAGCAAATGTTTAGATTTCATGTATCAAAAAGAAGTTATTTCATTTGACAAAGTCATAATAAAATATCTCTTTTGGGATTGAACGAAAGCGACTGCTATTCCCAGAAGACTCTTATTTGTTATCACAGTTGCTAAACTGGGATGATGTTTCCCCTTGATGTCAGTATGACTGGTTATCTATGGAGCCAGAATATCTTGTGTCCGTCAAAAGACACCAACTGAGAAAATGAATATATTTAGAAAACAAGAAACAAACAAAACACAACGTAACCATTGCCAAACCCCTCCCCTGAACAGCAACAAGGAGAGCTTAGCAACCTTCTCATGTAGAGAAATTCAAAACTTGCCTGTACTTCTAATATAAGCTTATCTCAGTCCATATCTAAAGAGCCTGGAGGGTCTTGTTATCCAAATGGAGCTATAATAGAACAAATAGTATAACATTAAATCATTTATGCTATCTCACAGTAGTTAAATGTCCAGTAAGTAGACAAGTGCTCCACTTCAAAGGCTTGTGTGTGTGTGTGTGTGTGTGTATAGCTAAAATAATATGCCAAAATTGTTCAAAGTAAGGTTGTATTTAAAAAGAATGGTGAGAGAATGAATGAAAAGAGAACACAAGAGGACTGCTGGGTTGGTTGTAAAATGTACCATGGTCATATATCTGCATATAAAGCAAAACAATAATGAATGTTTGTTTTTTTCTACTGTACTGTACATACACACACCCACATGCATTGCTCATCCTTTTTAAGCATGCAAATATAAAGAAATTATCTGTGTGGAACAGACTGACCAAGAGGTCTCTGATTGCACATGTAACACTGCTTCTGCCTTGTGTAACTACATTTTCCTTATACAGTATGCTACATTATATACTGACTTCCATTATTGTGGTGATAGTAGTCAGTGAAATTTTATTATAAACTGTGAAGTAAAACAGCATAAACTGAAAAAAATATATTCAGTTTATTCACCTTTGTCGACAGATACTAGAGTTACTGGAAACTGTGTTGCCTGTTCTAAAAGCTTCTTCAGTCTACTCAGTAAATATTTATGTTACTCATTTGGCATTTCAGTGGACCTAGCTACTCTGGCTGCACCCCAGAAAGATTTGAACCCTGGAGACCCTTTGTCCCTTCCAGGCCATCTACTGTACAGCCAAAGAGAAGGACACTCCAGTGTTTACATACAATACTATGCATGCAGTGAGTCACAGTGCTGTTGCAGAACCCATGCTGATTTTGATGTACTCTTTGTCACTAGGCATATTACCTGTGGCATCTATTTTGGACAAAACAACATTTAAAAGGCGGAGGTCGGCACTTATCAATGCCTAGCATTTTAAAATAGTTTCCAGGAACCTCTTACGCAGTTGTAACGGGCACTGCTATTACACAGTTCATTCTCTAAAACAAACAAACACACTATTATTAGCTTTGGTCACGCATGCTGACCCACGTGAGGTACCGTACACATCACAGTCTTGATATCAACAAGTGCTGTCACTTTCTCGTACTACTGTATAGGCTTTAAATGTTAGTTAGATGAGGTTCACTACAAGGAACAAGCACATTAGGGCCTGAAGAATGATTAGAGGTCAGCGCTTGTAGCTTGGTCTTATAGGAGTGTTGAGAGCCTAATAGATACTGTATGTAGTTGAGGTATTTGAAGATGACTTAGCAGTACATGGGGTTTACTAATATTTTTGTACTTGGGCCTAAAATAACATGTTTAGGTTCTTGTAACTGTTTATCCAGCTTATCACAGCAGATCAGACATTTAGTGGAGGTCTGGGAAATTAAAGACGCACTATACTCAGAAGGTACAGTACTCTAAACATGTTGTTCTAAGCTCATTTGAGTATGCTTTTACCTACATACTGTATACAGTATATGCTATCTGAATAGGTTGCTTTACGTATAAGGTAAAACAGACACCTTACTGTATGTCATTATTGGCTTTTCAATTGGAGTCTATTCTAACCCATAGAACTGACTAATTTTTTACCAAAACATACAGATCATTCCATCAAAACATTTGTATGTGTGACAGTACACTGTTTGTATAGGTGTGCCTTCTATTTTATCATTGTTTTGTGTTTGTGAAGCGACGTGATGTTTTGGATTTAGCTGCAAGGACAAAGGTGAGTCAGTTAGGTTGGATGAAGTTGTGTGTACTGTTGGTTTAGTATCAGATTGCCCTGTAGTGTTCACCTTGCTTATTTTAGAGTATAATATCCTGAGTTTTCTGTCGTTCTGGTAGTAGCCTAAAAGATTCATTTCAATTTCCACTTTTCTTTTATGACCAAGCAAAGCGCCAATACTTCATTTATTTTCAAAAAACTGAATTTTTGAATGTTGTTCAAACAGATCCCCCTTTTATTGCCACTGTTAAATATAAAAACATTATAAATTGTTTTTAGTATTTTATATCTAGATTATACCATAAAAGGAAATGGGAGAGATTATGTAAAAATTATAAATGATAGAATGTTCTTTTTTATTTCTCCAAAATTCTATGTACATATGTACAGTACTCTTAAAGATGAATGCATACTAACCTGTTTTCATTTACTACTATGCAACCCTGTGTGTCCTTGATGCAGTGCAGGAATGTAAGCCATCACACAACCATCAGTAAACAAATTAAGATTGTTTCCCTGCAACATCTGGAAACACAGTCAATATTTATCCAGATGTCAAAGAAACATTCAGGTCCCATAAACGAACATGTTTGGCCTGCTTATGCCAAAAACAGATTCAGATACTGAAACAAGGTGATGCGTGTGCGATGTCTGGAAAAAGTCGTAGCACTTTAGGGTTTTGGACAACAAGACACGAGTTGAATTTAATGCTGTGATTGGAGAGAAGATGCAGGGGTTTAGTTTTCTCTGGCCAATTACTATGTTAACAACTGTAAAACAGATCAGTGGAAATTTTTATTACAGCGCCTGTGGAATGTCATTCTTTTAAATTTCCATTGTAGATGTTTCACTATACAGTAGATAAATCTTTTGATGGTGCTATTATGGTGCATAATGCCATTTACAATCAAGCCATAGCTCTACTTCCTCATATTTTCTTTCACCAGTGTTGACCTCAGTGTTTAGTTTAAATGTTAAATGTTTAAATGTGGAAGTGATTTTACATAGACCACAGATAGATTCAAAACTGTCCTGGTAAATGATATCTTTCTGGTTGTCAGTGCTGCTGAAGCCTTGTGTAAGTATAAGGAGACCATGCTAGCATTGATAGATGAGTCTTATTAACTCTGACTAACAGAAAGTTTCCTATGACTTTGCCCGTCTCATAAGGATCCATTTTCATGTTGTGTACCACAAGGTTTAATTCTTTGACCACTATTGTTTTCTCTATTTTCCTCACCATGCAATTGCAAGGCCCATTAGCGATACCTGTTAGTATAGTTTTAAAGTTTATTTTGTGGTAAACCTACTCTTAGAAAACACTCAATCTAATTCTGATATAACAGATATGCTCTTGCACACTTTAGCTTCTTTTGGTTTACTAATCACTGTATAACTTTGTTTTGAAAAATAATACACAAATGACTATGGGCTCCTTGAGCACCTGCTCTATTTTACCACTTGATGTCACCCTTTTAACAGAAATCAGTGAACTGAAACTTTGGGTTGAGCTATTAGGTCATTCATATGCCGCTGATGCAATAGTTAGGAGAGACTGGCATAGAGCTACATTTTACTCAGTATGCGAGGTTAGAAACAAAAACTGAAATACTTTTACTGCTTTTACAGAACAAATGCCAATATCAGTGTATGTTTTAATAATGAACATAAGCAGTGTTGTCCCAAGTGCAGAAAGTGAGGCAGGGAAGCTGCTGAATTTACTGCAGTGCTGTATTTCTATAACTGGATCCCTGCATGAATCAGTATACAGTATATGAATTCAGTGTTATGCTGCTTACCTTCCTCCCAGAGAACAGCATACACAGTTGATGCATAGAGCCTCCATTCTTGGTCAGCTCTTTCTTCAGGGTTTTGGGTGATGGGAGTGTCCAGCCACTCTTGTTGTGCGCTCCCCCCGCCTCCAGGCAGTTAATGGCATTGTCGGAGGTGAAACAAGTTGTGCGGGGGTCCTGCAGGAGACTACCTTCGCTGTGGGTGCGTCTGCGAAGGGAATTCTGCACACTGAGCCCCCCTCCTCCATGTTTCTCACAGGTGGCACCCCCCACCATGCTGTGGCGCTTGCTGTCGCTATGCTGCAGGTAGGCATCATCACTGTCATCTTCATCCTCCTCTTCAGACTCTTCATCTTCATCTTCATCATACTCTTCTTCATCAGTATTGGGTGAGGAGAGGGCATCGGCACTAAAGGAGCGATCAAGGCGCAACTCAGGGATGACAAATGAAGATGAGGAGGAGGAGGGAGGAGCGTTGGTGTCAGGCGGCTCTGAGGCATTGTCCTCATCTGTGTTTGACACCACCAGGTTTAAGGTGGCCTCCTCCTCATTTCTCTCTCCTCCTTCTTCTTTTTCTTCCCCCTCATTCCCTGCACTCTTCCTGCTTGCCCCATCCTCCTCCTCCTCCTCTCTACTGTTGTCCCTATTCCTCTGCTCTCTCCAGATCTCCATCTCGTTTCCCTCCATACTCTTGCAATCCTCTTCCTCTGTGGAAGGAGGTGGTGTGGGAGGTATCTTATGCCGCTCCTCGGATCCAATCCGACCACCAAGGGGCATATAGACCTCATCCAAAGGGGTGAGTGGCTCTGAGGGGTGAGGACTACCCAGGGTTGGGGGCTCAGAGGGGCTTGAAGGATACAGACTACTTTCCTGTCCCTCTGAGCTGCGGGTGGGCAGGTGGAGGCACACGCCTCTTCGATCCCTTCCTACTTCATCCAGCTCACATGAAGGAGCATCCACCTTAGGTTCCAACATCTACATAAGGAAACAAATTTAAAAAATGATAGGACAGTTAGTCACATCGATTTGGACAGTCAATGCACTCTATATATACCTAAATGGAACAAGTTTAACTCAGCATGACGGAGATTAACTTTGCTGCCATGAGCAAATCCACTTAATCATTACGGTCCCAGTTATTGAATTTGATTTTGAAATATGTCATGCAACAGGATGGTGTGACAGAGCTGCACTGCCAGGATCAGACGACATTTATGTCTCTTGAGAAGGTCAGAATATTAAATTAAGTTCTGCCATTGTCCAAGAGACAGACTACTGCTACTGAATCCTTAATGACTGTAGCATAAAGTCAATCATGAATTAGGATCTTCAAATGGGAGAGGCAAGAGACAAACTTCCCGGATTCGGAATGTCAGCAAACATGTCATCATAAAGGACGTCATGAACACTGTCAAACTAGGTGAATGAGATCATATAAATGATGACATGTTGGTCTTTTATTCAGGACTAAGGGTGGATTGTGTGGCCAATACTTATTTTCATTCTGAAATGCCAGAGACCACATTGTAATATTGGTGCCACTGAGGTCACATTGTGATGAACTGCTGTTTCATCCATGCTGCAAGTTACTGTACTACACTGGAGCCTGCTGCAGTGATTCAGTCAAACTAAGCTGGTGCTGGGCCCTCCCATACCACAGAATAAAAAAAAAAACAAACAAACAAGCCAAACCTCGTTCAGAAACGGATGAGATGACTGCTACAAAACGTTAGCACCAGTCACCCATCTGTTCACCCATCCAGGTTCTCTCTGATATGTTACCATTATTTCAAAAGAGAATACATTTTCTCTTAACTCAAATGGCCACACACACGGACACCCGCACTGCCCCAATTCACTTCCCAGGTCCAAACACAACATTATTGTCAAACACTAACATGCACGCACACACATAGTGTAGGTCATCACCTCTTGCCTTTGGCAGTCCATCTGTATTACCTCCCAAAATGTGCTGGTTTTAAATGCTGCTTTAACCTCTATGACCTGCCCTCAGTGGGTGGATCATTACAAATGCATTTTGAGTGGGCCAACATCATTCAAACCCACAGATTTTTTTTTTTTTCAAATTCAAGATCATCAGTTTTTGATAATACTGAATATGTTTATAAAGTTGTGCACATAACTCTATTTGATGTAGTGATGCTGCCAACAGAGTTTTTCTTTCTCAAAAAAGTATGATTATTAACACTGGAGTTCAAGAGGTTAATCAACTGTGCATGTACTGTATACAACTGCAGTACTTGTCATTGTATAACCTTCTGATTTTGGCAGTAGCCTATTTTGACAAAGGATGTAAGAAATCTACTAACATGTGCTCATCAACATGCTGTAGCTATTCGGTGCTAGCCTGTGCTCTAGTAAATATGGTTCCCTGGAGAAGATTTAGAAACCCGAAGGCATGTTTAAATACTTTAAACAAAGATGATGCATTGAAATTAAATCTGAAATGGAAAATTCCAACATTCGTGGTTTAAGGGGGTTTTCACTGTTAGTCATCAGCCTCATCTAGAATGTCATCGCAGGAAGTTAAAAGAGTATGAAAAAAGACCCCCTGGCAAAAAAGAACAAGAAAAAAACTACATTTCATGGGTTAAGAACCCTTTTAAACTTCAGATTATTAATTTAATAATATGTTTAATAATTTAATAATATGCACTTTTGAATGTCATGAAGCTCAGAAAGTTAGATAATATATTTCAAACATGACTAGACACGTTAGTACAAAATACAAATCTGTTATTCATAATACTCTTGAGTGGACTTGGGAAGTCACAAGCCCTCAGCTCAGTCCACAAAATCAGTTCTACCATCTTTAAGTCTTGTCAAGTGAAGAGCCTCATTGTGTTAGTCAGGTTAACCCATGATGGCGAGTTGCAGTCACAAGACACTGTGCTCTAATTAGAAATAATTCTGCCTCCTCCCAGTCAGCTCTCATGATAGCTCACAAGTTGTTTGTGTACCTTTGCGGTTCAAATTATTTTCCCCAGAAACTGTTGCCCTGGTTGTGCTCGTCTCTAAACTTTTGACCTGTATTCATGAACTCCACGTAGAGCTTTTAGGACTCTCAGTCAGGACCAATCCCTAAATTAGTACTTTATGAAAATGCAGCCTCTACAAAAGTGTGTTTGAGGGTGTATGAGAAGTGTAAGAAGAATTAATGTATGTGGCAATTTACATACTGAGTGGGGTGAATTATTATATACCCAGTCTGAATGCAAAATTTCTGCATACAGAATAGGTCTGAAATTGGGGTCACTCTGACTCCTGTAACAACGTGACCTCATATTTTATAATGTGGGCTATGTAGAACATCAAGACTCTATTCTGAACTACTTTCTCTTCTTTGTATTCACATACTATCACTCACTTGCAAAATATCTGCAAATCAGGCATGTAAAAACCTGGCACTGTAATTGGTCATTTATAACACATAATTGACAGTTTTCCTTTAAAACTCTTGATTTTATTATTCACTGTTCTTTTGAATGGTTTTGAGAGGAACGTGACACCTTTTACTGGGGAGTAGAGGTGCTGGCTTGGACTAGAGCCTAGATCAGTGACAGGCCTACAGTAATTAATCTGTCAGACACATAATATCAGATCTCTTGGGAGTGAGCAGCTTCCCCAAATGAAAGAGTTTAAGTATCTCGGGGGCTTGATCACAAGTGAAGATAAAAATGGAAAATGAGATCAACAGTCTCAGCAGTAGTGTACTGGTCTTTGGTTGTGAAGCAGGTCTGAAGGTGAAGCTCTTAATTTACCAGTCAATCTGTGCTGCAATCCTTACTATGTTCACAGGCTTTGGGTAGTGACTGAAAGCATGACATCACACATACAAGCCACCAAAGGTTTCCTCTATAGGATGGTTGGGTTTACAGAGAGTGTAAACCTTAGACATGTGGAGGAGGCTGGTCCTTCATATTCCTTTAACTTGTCTCCTACATAGAACAAACTAGAGGGATTATATATCTCATTTAGCTTAGAACGGACCTTGGATCCCCCAGGAGGAGCGAGATTATAAACATATAAATCCAGCATTTATATAGCATCCCAAAAACTGGAACTGAAAAACTGTTCCCTATCTGCACCTAATTGACAAGCACTGTTCTATTTTATTTTTCAGGATGCCAAACCATCCTAGCGAGAGATCTTCCTCTAAGTAGCACAACACAGACATTTTGCTAGCTTGGTTGTTTGGGTGATGTCATTTCCATTTATTGTTTTCCCACTGTTAAGCCCTTTGAGACATGAACACTGACTCAGGGCAACAAATATAAACTAGATTTACCTTAATGTTCATGGATATAAAACCATACAACTACCCCAAGGTGATCCAGACCTCCAATTTTACCTTTTAGCTCCCTCTTAACCTCCCTGTGATCATATCTACGGTAAATGGTTCACAGCGGTTTTATAACTGAGACACCAAGTCTTCTTTGTGATTCACAGAGTATTTTTAGAAGGAAATGCACTTACATAAAACCACCCAGAGAGGAATGTAGAAGTAAAGCCTGTGCCTTTATCCTATTTTGCCTGTTCTTTTCCAGTAATTTCTTTGTTCATAGTGATTCAAGTCAGAATACTGAGCCACTGTCCACCTCCCAGACCTCCTCCTCTCTTTCCTTGTTTTACATACATAAACCCCTGACTGTTGAAGTTATAGCATAAGACAAAGTAGAGCCAAATGTCCTGTCAAATACACTTCTCACACTCTATACAGTGGAGACACATGCAAATGCACACAAAAACCAAGTAGCTTCACATTAACCTTGTATATCTTTTAAGCCTGTCCTCACATCTTGTGTGAAGCTAAGAAAACAACAAACATAAAACTCTCGTATTTGCCACCTTGCTGCAATCTTTAACATTCTCTCTTCAATAAGCCTTGTTCAAATGTTAAATGAAAAGACACAAGCTAATGGGCAATGCGGATGCAGTATGTGCACTGTCCATACACCTTTTTTCAGTGATTACGTTTATGTGCGTGTAGACCTACACACACATACTCAAATACATCTTAAAATCATCAGCGATTCAAAACAATATCAAAATCAATGAAGCAAGGAAATAAAACCAGTGCTAAAAGGCAGGGAGAGCGGGATAGAAGTTAAGAGAGTGAATAAAGGGAGGAAACAAAGTGGACATGCAGAAGGGAGGAAGGTGATCAACGACGACAGAAGTGAGATGAGTAAGTGGAAGAAATAAAACAGGAGATGAGAGGAGAAAAGTGCAGACTAGATTATTATTGGTCTCACAATGACCTACAGTAACTAGCTAATAACAACCTTTTATGTATTGACATGAATTGATAAGAATTTCTCGACATAATTTTGGAAGTCTTACTAGGCAGGGGTGAAATAGAGGAGTGAATGCAGCTCTCTGAGCGCTTGTGATTTAATGTCTTGTTGGCCAGCTAACTCTATGACCTCTGTGAGATTAAACAATGCTTCATCATGACTGAGAGACTGTGTATGTGGTCAAGGCCAGGAGGCAGCCATACTGGCTAATGACATTTTTCCACCACAAATTAGTGAGTCTTACTTTACAGTAGGTTATTTTATACAATGTGAAGAAAACAGGGGACCTTTGTTTCATGTCACACCTCATCTCTCAGCTCTCTACACTGTTGCATAGTCATACTCCTACTATTTCAAGGTTTTGGTCCGGATCGAAATATCTCAACAGCTATGCATCAAGGTACAGACATTAATGGTGCCCAGAAGATGAATCCTAATGGCTCTGGGCACTACCTGAGGTTTCCACTAGCAGGTTAGCATATTTAGTTCAGCAGCTGATGGATGCACCACCAGGTAATTCGATGTAAATATTCATGGCTTTTTTTTATCTTTAATATTCTCATAACTATTCATTTTAAAGTGCCAATGTCATATCAAATTTTAATTTATCAACTAATTTGTTTTATTCTAAATTCCCATTATCCTTAAATGTACATT